CAAACACACACACACACACACACACACACACACACAGATTAACACACACACACACAGATGTGTGGATGCAGGGCTGGACAATAAGAACTGCCGATGGCCCGGGGCCAGTGTGAAAGACGTTCGGCACAGTAGACGGATTTGTCACTTGCCCGATCGGGCCACTGCAGCGTCGTCACGACATTTGATCATTTGCATGTGTTTTTAAGACTTGTTAATTTAAAAATTCAAGCGATTAAAAAGCATTTGGGCGCGAAAGACAACTCCTTTCAGTACTCGAGCGCTGTGTTCTGTGTGAACAGCCGCGTCTGAAGAAGGACACAAAGAGGACAAAATACTGTAGCAGGCAGAACAAGATCACTGTTCACGATGCGCAAAATATAGGAAGAAAATCCAAACATTGCATTTTATATTAATGTGTTTCTGAGGGGAACGGAACTGACTGTTTTCAGAAATGGCATTTTCTTTTCATTGTCTCCGTATGATGCATTTAAATTAGTGTAAATACGTGCAGCGCTGCGGTGTTTACAGCGGTAACCAAGGAAACGCTGTATTACTGTACCATAAGCGCCGCCTGCTGTCAGAGAGTGAATCTGCGTCTCATTCAGCCCACCTGCTGTTTCTGTTTCATGCCGATGTTTTATGTAGCATCATTTCACAAAGCTAAAGTCAGGTTATTCTGTTTATGCTTCAGATTTCGAAATTATACAGCCTAATATAAATCAACAATTGCACTTTTCTTTCAATTCATGATTCAAATGCAGTGGGGTTGCCTCTAATTTCAAATGGCTATGAAAAATCAAGGTGCAACACAGAGTGAAGAATATGCAAATGTTATTTTATATGTGATTTTTCCATTTCTGTACCTGAACATATACAAACATAAAAACCTAAAGCATCATTTCATTTCTATTTTTGTGCTATATGCCTATATTTAATTGTGCTATTACTTGTAACTTGTTCCTTTGTTCTTATTTATTGGCTGTCACTTGTCTTTAATAATGTTTAAACTTTATATTTATGTTTATTTTTGGCTAGTGATTTTTGCTGTGGTACCGAAATTGAAATAGAGAATTGTATACTTTAATTGGTATCTAAAATATTGGTGTCATATAAGCTTATTTATTAGAATACAAGATAACAGATCAAAAACAATGACAACAGCAACTATTCTATTTTTTGTGGCAGGGCCAGTGAAAATATTGTCAGGGCAAGTAAACATTTGAACCACTGGCCCGACCGGACCAGAAGAAAAAATCCTTAGCTTTGATCCCTGGGATGGTTGCTTCAGTCTGTTAGTGTGTGTGTGTGTGTCTGTCAGGTCTGTTAGTGAAAGTGCGTGTGTGTGTGTGTGTGTCTGTCAGGTCTGTTAGTGAGTGTGTGTGTGTGTATGTGTCTGTCAGGTCTGTTAGTGAGAGAGTGTGTGTGTGTGTGTGTGTGTCTGTCAGGTCTGTTAGTGAAAGTGCGTGTGTGTGTGTGTGTGTCTGTCAGGTCTGTTAGTGAAAGTGCGTGTGTGTGTGTGTGTGTCTGTCAGGTCTGTTAGTGAAAGTGCGTGTGTGTGTGTGTGTGTCTGTCAGGTCTGTTAGTGAAAGTGCGTGTGTGTGTGTGTGTGTCTGTCAGGTCTGTTAGTGAAAGTGCGTGTGTGTGTGTGTGTGTCTGTCAGGTCTGTTAGTGAAAGTGCGTGTGTGTGTGTGTGTGTCTGTCAGGTCTGTTAGTGAAAGTGCGTGTGTGTGTGTGTGTGTCTGTCAGGTCTGTTAGTGAAAGTGCGTGTGTGTGTGTGTGTGTCTGTCAGGTCTGTTAGTGAGTGTGTGTGTGTGTATGTGTCTGTCAGGTCTGTTAGTGAGAGAGTGTGTGTGTGTGTGTGTGTGTCTGTCAGGTCTGTGGGGGCTGGGACGCATTCACACTACAGCCTCACGTGTGCGTCACATCTCTTGAGTGTAACCGGTGTAAACTAGAAGGTGTGTTCGACTTGAGACCGATCGGTGTATTACAGTACCACGAGAGCTAAAGAGAGCAGACTGCTCCGTGCGCTTTCGAATCTCTCTCGCAGATGTCAAACACTGATCGATCTGCTCCGCACCTCTTCCAGTCGAACACACCCGCTAGTGCTGCAGGCTTTATTGGCTCACTGACGCTGATGAGATTAACCCCTTAGGTATCGAAATTTGGTACCGAACGACGAGATGTTTTTCGATACTCGATGGTATTGAGGCAATTCGGTCGGTGCCTAAAAAGTATCGAACTCGATACCCAGCCCTATGTGTGTGTGTGTGTGTGTGTGTGTGTGTGAGGAGCTGCATACCCTCCAGAGCCACAGGAATGGCTTCTATCTGGATCTTGGTTGGTTTCTTCCATCCCAGCAGATCACAGGCTTCACAGAGAACTTCAGTGACGCCCTAAACACACACACACACAAAGTTACACGTGATTATGTAGTGGAATGTTTAGTTTCTCGTCTCAGTGAACAGGAGAGAGTTGAACTGAGTTTGACCGGCTGGTGTGTCTGTGTGTGTGAGAGAGAGTGAGTGTGTGTGTGAGAGAGAGTGAGAGTGTCTGTGTGTGTCTGTGTGAGAGTGAGAGAGTGTGAGAGAATGAGTGTGTCTGTGTGAGAGTGAGAGAGTGTGTGTGTGTGTGTGAGAGAGTGAGTGTGTCTGTGTGTGTGAGAGTGAGTGTCTGTGTGTGTGAGAGAGTGAGAGTGTCTGTCTGTCTGTGAGTGTGTCTGTGTGTGTGAGAGTGAGTGTGTGTGTCTGTGTGTGTGTGTGTGTCTGT